TTGTTATAGCGAATGCAATAATGAGAGATGCTACTGCAAGTGCTCAAGCACCATGGAGGCACCACCTGCTTAAATGGTTCTTTGAGCAGCTACAAGCAAACGGAAGTTGTAATACGCCGTGCAATCTGGTAATAAACGAGCTACGTGCCCTTTCACTGTGCTGCTAGTGTTCTACCACTGACTTTAAAGATTTATCATACATCGGTAAAGACAGCTATGAATCAATCACATATGGAAGCATACTTCGGCAAATGTTGACTATAGCGTTGATAAAAATATAGACTTGTTAGAGGTACAACTTTTTATCTATACTCAACGTATAGATGTCGCATCCTACTGTTCAATTTGAACATGAAATTTGAACTTCTCATTTTAATTAAAGCATTACTTTTTATGATGCTAAGTTGCTACGGGATGATAGAAACCGGTGCTGCATAGACCAACAAATTTTCAAAGACTGATTAAAGTTTCGACAAGCATTTCAGTCAATCAGGCTTCAAATCAACGAACGCTTCAATTCCTATGCTGTATGGGTTAATACTTGTGCCTGAATCATATAAGTTGAGGAAACCGCATTGTCATGGAGTTATAGAAGCGGTCAAATTAAGAGACAGGCCGCCACAACAAAGCAAAATAGTCAGGACCTATTTTCACGATTTTAGACATAGGCTCTCATAAACCCTGAAATAACCGGTCAGCGATGCGTTGATATGAGGCAATGACAGATCACTTCATACCTTTGGGGCAAATCTATTTAAAGATAGATCGACCAGCTTCACCGTACATTCAAGAAATATTAGGGGCTGATGTCATCATTTATCCATGAAATGTATACTTAGACAGTCATGATGCAAAATATCACAGTAACATAGTACGCTGCTTTGGTAGCTGTCCCATTTACAGTAACTGTTATTGCTCATTTATGATCCAGTTTTAATTTTCTTTATCGAAAGGGCATTTATTCTCTATTCTAATGAAACAACAAACTGAACTACTGCTAACCATTATGATTGCCAGTTGATAATCTTCCGAAATTCACCCGGTTAATGGCTCACATAAAATACCTTCAGACCCTTAAGTGCTCGTCAAATAACTCTTATACGTTCTCCATGATTTTTCAAGAATAAAACGGCTTGTTTTTTATCTATCGTGCTGACAGCAGCTCATTCAACGTAGAACATTTCAATGTCTTTTATTAGCCGTTTCCGATTCAATCATTCTTTAATGA